GGGTGTAACCGCCCCCAAATCGTGGGAAACAGTTTTAGAACTGTTCAGCTCATGTTGAATGAGTCAAACAATGCCCACGTTGGCGTTCAGGATCCTAACTCCACATTTTAGACTGGAGACGCGGAGTTGGGTACCCGCAGGGCGTAGAAAAACGCGAGGGTCGACCTTGGCGTTTTTGATGTTGTGACGCGGGGTTCGACCCTGGTGTTTTGATGTTGTGACGCGGGGTTTGATCCTGGCGTTTTGATGTTGTAACGCGGGTTTCGACCCTGGCGTTTTGATGTTGTAACGCGGGGTTCGACCCTGGCGTTTTGATGTTGAAACGCGGGGTTCGACCCTGGCGTTTTGATGTTGAAACGCGGGGTTCGACCCTGGCGTTTTGATGTTGAAACGCGGGGTTCGACCCTGGCGTTTTGATGTTGAAACACGGGGAGGACCTCCGCGTCTTGCCTTGCAGAGATTATCACCAAGTAATCTCTTTTTGTCATAGCGTTGCAAAGATCATTGTCTTTGAAACGCGGGGTTCGACCCTGGCGTTGTGACGCGGGGTTTGACCTTGGCGTTTTGATGTTGAAACGCGGGGTTCGACCCTGGCGTTTTGCTGTTGAAACACGGGGAGGACCTCCGCGTCTTGCCTTGCAGAGATTATCACCAAGTAATCTCTTTTTGTCATAGCGTTGCAAAGATCATTGTCTTGTAATCTTCGTCTTGGCTCCTTGAGAATATGAGAGTCGTCAGATTGTAACTCCCGATGTTGATTGTGAAGGCTGTTGAACTAGAGCTTTCATCAGTTGTCGTGAAGGTCGTCAGATTGTAACCTTCAGCAATCTACGCGAAAGTCTTCAGATTACAGCCTTCTGGAAGTCGTCAGATTGTAACTTCCATCATCGGTGGTTGATGGGGGATAAGCTATCTATTATGATTTTTAGGCAATGAATACTTTCGATTTATGAGTGAAATATATGATTTTTTTTTTTGTTAACAAGTCTATGTATTAACTGTTACTTGTTTCTTGCTGCAGAGAAAAGGATTGATGAGCTTCACAAGATGGCATGTGCATGTTATAGATCTATAGTTCTGGATCTTGCATCTCCTGTGCTGTTGATCAAGGAAAATTTATGTAATATATATTGTCACTTTGTCTGATTGAAGATGTAATTGCCATATTCATTTCTTGTCATCTTGATTATTTTTATTGACTATGTAATTGGCATATTCATTTCTTTTTGTTACTATTTTGATTTGGTGGATGCTTTTTATATGCATGAAATAGAGGTTTGGCTATTCTTTTTTGTTACTATTATGATTTGGTGGATGATTTTTAAAGGCATGAAATAGACTTAATTTGGATGTTCTTTTTCGGAGGTCGACACTCCCCATTTCCCAGCATAACACTCTCTACCCACCTACCTGATGTTGTTGCTGTCTTTGAATTTGATGTCAAGGCTTCCCATCAGGAGCCATAAAACTTGTAAGCATACATGGAAAGTACTACTAACCTCAATAAATTATGTTGCCTCTATAAACATGTACAAGAAAAGTTCTTTTTTATCTCCTCTATAAATTATGTTGCCTCTATAAATTTTGTTGCCTCTATAAACCACGACAATCAGAACCAGTCGCTGGACTTGGGCTGCTCCTTCTTCATCTGCTACAAGAGCTTCTGGGCCCGCTGGGATTCCTTGCCCAACCGCCACGTCATCCACACGATCCTCGACGCCTTTGAAGAAGAGGAGACAACCTTGAGATGCTCAAAGAAGAAGGACGGCAGAGGAAAAAGCAAGAAGAAGGCGATGAAGATGAAGAAGAAAGAGGAGGAGGAGGAGGAGGCTGCTGTGGTTGTTCAAGAGATCGATCACGCCCATCACGAGAATGATGATGGCCATGGAGATGGGGAAGAGGAGGGAGATGAGAAAAGCTCCGTGAGGGAATTTTTTTGGTTTCTAAAAGAGATTACTAAAGGCAATTCAAACCAAATCATCAACATAACGAGTTCTAACTATTACAACCAAAACTCAATGGTTTCTCAATGGGCATTTAATTCTACAGTCAATGTTTTGATGCAGAGAGCAAGACCTGGTTTGTGAAGAGAAGGCGTGTACAGCACCTTTCAGTTTCTTTTATTAAGACCTGTTGCATTTCTAAAATTTATTGGCTTCTGATGTAATTTTTTGGCTTCAGTTGTTATGTATTGGCTTCTGATGTAATTTATTGGCTTCTGATGGGGAAGAGGAGGGAGATGTAATTTATTAGCTTGTGATGTAATTTATTGGCTTCGGTTGTTATGTTGTTACGTGTTGTTATCTATCAACAACATTCACTTCTCCTAACGGATATTTGATCAGAGTTCCTTATAAAGTTTCAATCCCATTGAGAATGATAAAGAAAGTTAGTCCTAAGTAAGAACGTGAATAAGCCTAACCAAAAGTATGTGCAGATTGTGACAGTTGATGCTTTTGAGTTTTGGTTTATGAAGATTGTGAGTTATCAGAGGTCTTTCAGGTATTTGCAATAAGTAATCTCAGGAACAGGAATGAGCTCCTAGCATCAATAGGAGAAGTTGGAAAAACCTGCACATTAACATTTTGTCATTGTAAATTAGAGCGTCGGTTCAATACCATCGTTGAACAAGGATTGTCTGTTTTTGTATCTATCCTTCTGTACAATGAGATGGTGATATACTACTACTTGTAATATATCATGTAAAGAAATATTGTATCCTGTGGGTCAATCTCAGCCTCTGTTAATGTCGCAACAGTCGGTCGTATATTAAGCGTTTCTTCCTTTCTTTACAATATAGAACCTACAACCAATATATTCTTCCTTTCTTTACAATATAGAACCTACAACCAATATAGAACACTGTAAAGGGAAGGATAATAAAGGAGTTCAGTTCATCCTTCTTCATTGGCACATACGTGCACCTCCATTACAATAGTATGATATCAGCGAATATTACATATATGATCACATAAGACCACTGCTCAACAAAATCCCCACATCAAACTATGGTCTTATACACAAAATACACAAACCACAGAATATTACATAAATGATCACACAAGTTGATATTTGATCACATTACAAATATGTTAATCTCAGAAACATTATAATCTCCAACCCCACAGCAACAGCTTGCACATGCCTTCTTCTTGTGTAGCTCCTCAATCTTTTTCTCTGCAGCAAGAAACTAGTAACAGTTAATACATAGACCTTGACATAGGCCTAAATATTTCGCTTGCATAGGCCTAAATATTTTATTTCTTATTGATCAATCAGCTTCAGCAACTCCTTTGTTCTGTTGGTAATTTGCGTCATATGTTTGCATTACCTGGTATATGGTATATAAGTGGCATGGAAGTTGACTTTAATTTTTAGCATTCTAAATGCAAAATTCCAATGAACATGTTGTACTTGGAACTCAAGTGTTCATAACCAACTACAGACGACTCTTGATGTCCCCAACTTACATAACCAGGCTAAAATCATTTACAGTTATAAAATAAATCAATAAGTAGGAAAACTTCCTGCAGATGTCCACAACTTACAAAAAGAGAAGAATGAAAAGGAAAAAAGGAAGCTTCAATCATATTGCAACTAACATAAGCATCTACAAATCATAAATCTCAATGAAGAGAAACATTGCAGGGCAACTAACATAACCATCTACAAATCATATATCTCAATTGACGAGTTCATACCCTCAACAGCTAATGCGAAACAAGGAAGACCAATTAATATTGCAGTCTATTCGATTTTTACAAACTAGTGGAAGCAGACTTATTGTAAAAATCGAATAGACTGCAATATTTACAATAAATCTATTCGAATCTGTAGACACCAGTTCAAATCTGCAGAAACAAGGAAGACCAATTCAACTAGTCTATTCGATTTTTACAATAAATCTGCAGACACCAGTTCAAATCTGCAGACACCAGAAACTAGAGCATAGCAAAGAAGTGAGTAAATTAGCTATAGAAATGCAAACCAGTGGAAGCTTTCATTAAAAACTAAAAACAAAAAAACAAAAAACAAAAGCACCCAAATAATTCTACATCTGCCTCTGTCAATTATTCAAACAACAGGAACCACTATATAAAGCACACATCAAGTCCAAGATCAATCATGATTCACATCATGTAATAATCCATTTTTTTTCAAAGTTGCAAATCAAAAAAATAAAAAATAATAAAGTGGGTCAAATATGTAATGGTTCCATGTAAGAGGCCCAAAGATGTTGGAATTAGAAAAGAAAAAAATAATTAAAGGTCCAATAGTGCTAGCACAACCTCAAAATAAGCCCATCCCCACTTTTCCCCTTTTGATTTTTTTTCTTCTCTTTCACGTGTGAGAGAAGAGAGTTGGTTTAGGAAGCCCACTCCACATTTTAACAAAAATCTGTTTTTAGGATTTGGTTAAAAAAAATCTGATTTGTTTCTAAAATAATAATAATAATAATAAAATCCTAGAAAATCATACCCAATCCACTAATCCCTCTCCTAAAATCCCTCAACTAACCTCCCCTTATCTCCCCACTAAACAAATTCCACCACAAATCTCTCTCTTTAATCTCTCTCCTCTCTCCACGTTCTCAACTCTCACTTTCATCACGAATCACTAACTGCCAGTTTCTTATAATTTCCTTAACGCCTCGTTTGGTACGCGGGAATGAGGAGGAATGGAATGCAATTCCCACTTCCCATTCCCTCATACCAAACACAGTGAGGGTCCAGCACTCAATTCAAATCGACCGTATAGAGAAGAGAAATATAACTTGAGTTTTAGAATGAAAATATTTGGTTTTCAGCAGCTCCGTGATGGGAGGTATCATGAGAGGGAGGTTGACGAGCGCGACTTTCGTTTAGCTGGTTTTCAGCAGCCGCACTTGTCGCATGACCGGACATTGTTAATTTTATGGTATTCTCGTCTCGTTACTTTATATACATACATTTCACGCATAAGCACTTTTATTAATTCCCGTCGCCGGCTAGCTGCACCTCAGTCGGCCCCACTTAGGGTCTCAACTTCAATTTTCTCTTCCGGCGCCGCCACAAGGGCAGGAAAAACTATCTCAAATACAGCGCCGCTTCTCTTCTGATAATATCTACACCATTGTACGGACCAGGTTCTGTTCACGCAAATTCAGCCCCTCATTTAATTAGTTAAATATTACTATACTTACACCCTGCGGCGTACGCACCTAATTCTAATTCCCATGCTTCTCACTACTCATACTACGCGTACACTACTGTGTGATGCCGTTGGCTGTGCTGGCTACGCACCCTCTACAGCACTGATGCGTGTACCTGCGGCCTAGATTATCAATAAAATTTAAATTATAATACATTTTTTGTCTTCACGTGACACATTTTTTGTATCACACAAACAGAGCGTGACGCATACCAAAAGTATTAATTGGTAGAGCATGTGGAGAGCGTCTTTCTACACATGTGAGAATGTGTCATAAAAATTGTGACATATACATATATCATAAAATTTACGATACATACATGTGTTACAAAACTCACAACGCATACATGTGTCAAGGGTGTACGTGTTGTGCGCGGCGGAAGCTTCGAAGCGACACGATAATCCAAGAGATTAATCACAACTAATAAGCTAAACACAATACCACAGCAAGACAACGAGTTTAACATGATTCGACAAGTTGCCTACGTCCACGGGGCAATGAGAGGGGAGTTCTTACTATTAGAAATCAAGAGAATACAAATAGAATTACAAATCTCACCGATCAAACCCTAAAACAAAGCTCTAGATTTCTCACAAATCTCCCACAATTGGATATAACAATCCTCTCTCAAAGACTGTTCAAAAACATTCTTGCTTAACCCTAACTAATCAGGATTAGAGTTATATACTAACTCAAAACGAAACGGGTTGAAAACCCAAAGCCTAGCCCAAACTCATCTGCGGTCAACTGCGGCGGTCGACCGCGCAAGTATTGCGGTCGACTATCACGGTCGACCGAGCCAAAACCCGAGAGAAAAATCACCTACAGGGTTGGCGCGGTCGACCGCATTCAGCTCTGAATCCTACTGCTCTCCTGCGCACGTTCGCGGTTGACCGCCGCTGACTTGCGGTCGACCGCCAGTCTGCCTGGCCGTTCTCCTGAGCTTCTTTCGAGCTTCTTTCGCCATTTCTTCAGGGTGGTGACACGTAGTTATATTTAGACCATAAAAATATAAAGAGCATCACCATTCAACACTATAAATTCCCAAAAGATCACCTATCCTAGAATTACTCTCACCAAAGCACGCTCGACTATGAAGCTGTTTAGCTTGTACACTATCATAAATATATTTAAACATCATTATAATTAAAAGCTAAGCTTTATTATTTAAGCCCATCAATGGATCCTCACACAATCCATATCGGACTATTAGCATTTCTCAATTATATTTAATTGTATATCCAATGACACAAATATGTTGTTAGACCCTAGAGGGGGGGGTGATTAGGATCTTATGCTAATCTAATCCGATTAAATGCCAATTAAAACTAATTAACAAATATATTCTTGCAATATAGATATACAAAGAGTTATGTGCAAGAATGTGTAATATACAAAAGGTGATATATCCTATATGATAGAAATATATGCAAGGATATATAAACAATAAGATATATCCTAACAAAGAGATATAGACAATGTATGTGCAAGGATATAAAACTAACAAGAGGGGTAAACAAATTAACTACAAATGTGATAGGGCAAAATGATCAACAAGCAATACACAATGGCGATGTAAGATATGAACATGAAAACAAGTGCGCCAATGCAATCACAAACAAAGGATATGTTTACGAGGTTCGGTCCCCACGACCTACGTCCCCGCTCCTCACCTCGAGGAGATCTCCACTATCACAACCGGGTTTTCTACGTTCACCCGAACAACGTGTACACCTCACAATACAATCACTATGCAATCACACCTCACACACTAAGTGTTGGTCCTAGCCCGTGTCCTCCTCCTCAAGTGCTCGGTTACAACCTCTCCCTAGGCACGTCAACCGACGCCACTCCTCTTGGATTCGACCCCGTCTCTCACCACACACTTCTCTCGGTGTACAAGTGTATTACAAGTGAATCCTCACAATTAAGCACAATATAAATCAATTGATTGTTCTCTAAACAAGGTGAGAACTCAATTAAGCACAACTCTTAGTCACAAACCCACAACCCCAAATTATACTATGAATGTAAATACAATAAGCTCAATAGGTTGTGTGTGAACAGAGAGTATCAATAAAACAATTTAAACTCAATATAGAAATCTAGCTTATGGAAATTAAGATCAAAACAATAAATAGCTAGAATTGAGTTTAAGGAAAACTTCTCTATAGATCAAGAGTGAGAGAGAGATGAGTTGAATGCCCAAACACCAAAGGATGATCTCCTCTTTGCTCTTGTGAAATTTGCTTCACAAACTAAACTCAAACAAACTCTTAAACTCTTTTAAACAAAACTTAAACCCTTGATTAAAAACTTTCTTAAACTTGTTTTAAAACTCTCTTAGATGGCTTGAAAGAAAACAGCAATAGGGTATTTATACCCACTCCAAAACTCAGCCAAAAACCAAAAACAAAAGACCAAAAACACCCCAGCAACGGTAACAAAAATAGCCGTTGGAAGCAGTCAGAACCATGCTACAACGACTGGTTTTGAAAAAGGACTTCCCAAATGAAAAATATCATCATTTTGCAAAATAGTCCAAAACACGAAAATGTAAACATGTGAATTTTGACATTTTGGCTAAACCAACTTTTGAAACTTTACAAAATGATTTTATAGACTTGAAGAAAGATGTAAACTATTGTTATGAAGTCTATAAACAATGAATATAGTATTTTATCAAAATACACATATAATGCACTAAAACATGATTTCATTTAACTAACTAAAAATTGATATTGATGAAATCATATATATGCATATGAGTATGAAACAAAAATATGTTTTCTAATTATATTCAATTGTTTCATAGTAAAACTTGAAAACTATCAAACCAAAATATATATGTATATATATAACTATATATATACAAAAACCAAAACGTGTATGTGTGTATATGATTGAGCTTAAAGTACTAACACACATAATATAAATTCCTAAACTAAATTACCCAAGCTAGATCTTGATCTTCAATAAGCTCTTCTAGGTAATCTCGCGGATGAAGCTTTAACTTGGATCTTGAACTTTGAATAGCAAGGCTTCACCGACATTCCGCCAACCTCCTTTGGATATCATCGTTGAAGCGCAATCCATCCATCCTCCAACTACGTTGTTTGTCTACAATGAATAGATAATACAAGCACTAGACAAACAACATTAGTAGTAAATTGTTTGTAAATCATCATCAAAACAAGAAGGCCAACATATGTATCGTGATTTGTGATTTGTCATACTTTTTATTTGTATCACTATTGTTTAATCCTCTGTAAATAAAATGATACTTTTATATGCGTTATGAAATAAGTATAGACACGTGCAACTTTTGTTGTTGTGACTCATGTTTGTAGGCTGAAGATATCTGAAAAGCAAAATGTGGAAGCTTAACATTGGTGAAGGAGGCCCATGTCTCAAGAGTCGATATGATTTCATAGGAAGACAAGTGTGGGAGTTTGATCCAAAACTTGGATCCCTTGAAGAGCGAGAGGCTGTAGAAAGGGCTCGACAAGAATTTCGGAGGCATAGGTTTCAGAAAAAACAAGCATCAGACTTGCTAATGCGGATGCAGGTTTGGGCATCTTACCTCAACGCTCAGCACCTGCATGCACCACCTAAAACAGCAGCAATTGAAATACCCATGGACCAAAAAAAGAAGCAAGCAGGCACCGAATTCTTACTCTTAATTAAAGTTCAAAAAAATATAAAGCTAAGTATCATTGACAATAATCCAGAAAGTTTAAAATACATACAAAAAAAAGCTGGTAGGCTAGGACAATTGCCAGAATTCATCCCTGCAAAATTTTTCTGAATCAGTTATCATCAAACACATATATATATTTGATGAACATGCAACCTCCTGCATTTTGTTTTTTTTCCTCCCATCTTTTTTGTCAAGTAAGAAAATGAAAATGTGATCATTGCATTTGTATTGAATGAATCAGATAAAATTTCTGTAAATCAATAAGCATTTCCATAAAGGTAGAAAAACTATTTTCAATGTCAGTGGAAGGTGAAAATGCAGATTTCAGTGTTTGTCTATGTTACCGTAGGCAGCACAACTCATGTGCATCAGAAAAAGGACGGAGTTGGGAGGAAAAGAGAGAATGTGTCTTGACTTCAGTTGTGGAACAACCTGTCCTCTATAAATGTGCCTTTATTTTGTGGGTATTTTATTCATAGGAAAGGAAATAGGGATGCATATATGTTGCATTATCACACCCACTTCTATGATCATTATCCCTTTATGCTGGACACTTCAAACTATATATCAAAACTAATAAATACTATTTAGAAACATCTCATCAACAAATATATGGTAACACAGCAAAGACTAGGAACGGTACAGCTACATTGACCTAGTGACACAAATGTTGATGAATTTGTTGATCTTCAATTAAGTTATGAAAATTTTAAAGCATTTACATATCAATTATACATGAATTTTAAACTTCTATGCTATAGTTTGCAAAAGAGAATAATCATGATGATACAAATCTACCGCAAGTGAAACTCAAAGAAGATCAGGAAATTTCCGAAGAGGCCGTCAGAACTACATTGAGAAGAGCTATTGGCTATTTCTCAACCATTCAGGCACATGATGGGCATTGGCCAGCAGACTTTCCAGGACCCTTATTTCTAACTCCGACCTTGGTGAGTATCTATATATGGATCACATTATATATTAGTTTTAATACCTTGAGTATTTCCGATGTGAAGCTGAACATACTCTTGTCCGGGACTATGTTCATTTTGAACTTTCCGCGACTATTCTTATGAAAGTTAGATAGGCCACGGAGTACAAGTCTAAAAAAGGTTCACGCAATTAACCAGAGACAGTGCCCTTCATGAATTAATTATATGTTTTGGGACCGAAAAAAAATGTTGGATGGAGGAGCGGCATACCTAAAATGCATGGTTGTAAGCCAAATAAAGGGACTATCTTTTACCTGCAAATTAAGGAATAAATGTAGACAAGGAAGTCAGATGGCATAATTTGCCAAAGAGAATTGCACTTAAAGCACAATCTTATAAGCAAAAAAGACCAAGTAGAGATGCATTATCTGTATTGTTGTGGTCTCTTCTAAGGTGAAAATAGAACAGAGGTAATAAAAGCCTGTGGTAATACAATTCTGCCATATTATATTGATAAGACATCTTAAATGCTCAGGTCATTGCTTTATATGTTACTGGAGCAGTAAACAGTGCTTTTTCAGCAGAGCACCAGGAGGAGTTATGCCGCTACATCTACAACCATCAGGTTTGTAGCCAGGTTTTTTAAGCTTTAGCATTAATAACACTACTACAATGTCGTGCACAATAGGAAATCAAAGAAAAAGGGAATACACTTTTTTTTAACAAAACGGCGTGTCGATCTTCTAAGTTTTACTACCAGGAGTCTTGCTGAATAAGTCAATCGAAAATTTCCAATTGCTATCAGATTGCAGTAGTTTGGACACATCATCCTGCATCTTACTTTAAAAAGAGGATTCAATAATGAGCAAAAGAGTATTCTCCTGTTGAAGTCAAAAGTATCACCAACAATAATAAGTGTTCTTGTCAAAAATGTACCCTTTATGACTTCACATCCAATCACAGTTGCCACAAGACTTGAGAAGCCAAACTTGTTAACAACCATTCAGTATTATTTAACAGAATGAAGATGGAGGTTGGGGTTTCCACACAGAGGGTCTAAGCGTCATGTTTAGCACTGCTCTATGCTACACAGCATTGAGGCTACTCGGTGAGGAGGTTGATTACAACGAAGATGGAGCTATGGTGAAAGGGAGAAATTGGATACATGACCACGGAGGGGTAACAGCTATACCAACTTGGGGGAAAATGTGGCTTTCAGTAAGTTCTCTTATGGATGTATGTATATTACTAGATTCCACTGAAAAGAACACATGCTGAACTGCGCTACCGCCATTAGTCTACATAGCATATAACGTGAACGATCCACATTACCTACAGCATCGCAAAAAACATCCCAAAAAAAAAAGATTAAAGACAATCTTAGTCTCGCATTGGAAAAGATTTGTGCTGCGCTACAGATATTAGATAATATCATACATGACATGTTGAATGGTTAACACCCAACTTTCATTGCTGCAGGTACTTGGAGTGTTCGAATGGTCGGGAGTAAATCCCATACCACCGGAGCTTTTTATCTTTCCAACCATTCTTCCCATTCATCCAGGTAATTAACATAAATGTCCCTTTTCAGGGGATAATCAGTACACATTTGCTTAACGTTGACCTAGTAGTGCTTTAACATACGAATTTCCGTTCTGTGCAGTTCATCATAAGTACCCAATTCTAACAACATCTAGCATAAATTGTTGGGCGCCATGCGGAAGCGTGCTTGACAGCCAAGCGAGTCGGTCAGCGATGAGAGAAGAGAACCAAACCTAACTACGAGTGCAATTCACCAAAATACGACACAAATAAAACTAAACACAAGAATTTACGTGGTTCAGCAATTGCCTACGTCCACGGGGAGAGGATGGGGAGATTTTACTATAAATTTACGTGGTTCAGCAATTGCCTACGTCCACGGGGAGAGGATGGGGAGATTTTACTATATGGAGGAGAAATACAACGGGTTACCCTACGTCCACGGGGAGAGGATGGGGAGATTTTACTATATGGAGGAGAAATACAACGGGTTACAACCCATAAAATTACTCAAATATAACCCTAACCAAAGCTCTCAACTTCCTCACAATATCTCACTCTCAAAATGCTCAAAAGAATCCAAAATCTCTCCTTAAGAACCCTAAAAACGTGTTTGTATTTATATCAAACACTCAATCCAAAACCAACCAGGAAAACCAAATCTGACCCATAACCGTTTCGCCGTCCACCGGACATAGACCTGCGATCGACCAGCCAGAGAGCTGAAAATCAGCCCTGTAGTTGTGCATGTTTTCGGTCAACCGGCCATAAGCGTTCGGTCGACCAACGCATTTTCGGTCGACCGGTCAAACTCGTTTGGTCAACCGACCAGAATAGGGTTTCAGACCCTGTAAACCAACAGTCTGTCGGTCGATCCGACCTATGCCATCGGTCGACCGACCCGTAGCCTATCATGTGCACTTCAAATTTCCTGTTCTTCTTCGCCGTTTCTTCAAAATCGGCACCATTAAAAATCGAGTCAGTGCTCAAATTCATGGAATCTTCAATCAAAATACTTGAGTAACTTGACACGGTGTTTATTTACGATGGAGTCAACTTATAAGACATTAGACAGGTAGTGTTTTGAGATTGGAGAACAGCCCGGCCCTTAGAGAAGGAAAACATCCATGAAACAAACATCTGACTAGTTATATGAAACGAGAAAAAAATATCGTAAGTATCAAATTACATAATAGACTTCTAATAAGACTAGAATTACAAAGAAATAGTAAGTATCAAATTCTACCCTGAAAAGACCCCTTATAATATAAGAAACAAATCACGAATCAAAACTAAATTTGTTTCCTAATCTAAGTTGTCTTCAATATTGAATTTATTTTCTAATCCTAAATTGACTCTAACTAATTTATTACTAAAAATAAACAAATGACTGATTATTTCTGAAGTTCTACCAAAAACGGGTGTTACTGATGAGATTGTGAGATTCTGCCAAGCTGATTGACTCCGTCTTGTAGAGATAAGCGATTTTCATATATAATATGTTAGAATCTACCTTCTGGATTGGGAGATATGATTGTTTTCCTGCAGTCAGTAAATAATTCATCCATATCCACATTTGACTTGTGAAGGCCCCACTTCTCCATAAATTTGCTCGTTATGCGTCCTACATCACCAATGTTGCATATAAATACACTCAATTTGTAAATAACCTCAATTTAATACCCTAAAGTTTCTACAAGCTACACTTTAGTACCATGTGTTATATGATATTCTTGGACACGTAGATAGGGGTGGAAATGAACCAAATAATTAACAAATAGTTTGATAATTGTTCGAGTAACTAGTCGGTCATATTCGATTTGATAGTTCATTTATCACTAAACAAATATTTTTTAGTATTCGAGTTTACTAACGAATAGAATTTAACCAGATGTATATTCAATTCGTTTGTCTATCAAATATTCGTTTAAAATTTGATCACTTATCATTTGTATTATTGCACATATGATGTCATATTTTTAACCTACTTACAATTTATACTTAAGTTTTATGTACTGATTTTAAGACTTAAATAATCTTAAATCTATTTTCTAATGAAAATTTTGATTTAAATATATATACATTATATATTATAAAGGAAACTTTTTTATTTATGAATTTAAATACCATTTGAAAATCAAATTATTTAGTGGAATAAATATTCTTTGATATTCGAAAAGTATTCGTGAATATTCATGAATGTTTATTAAATACCAAGTATTCGAGTTCGAATTTGAAAAACTCCATATATGAATATTAGAGTCCGCATTCGAATTCGATAATTTTAACAAATACAAATATGAACAACTTAATATTCGATTCGATTCGATCGCTTACCACCCCTACACGTAGAGAAATGATAACACCATCTGGATTTTTTTTAACTTTGGGGCATTGATATGCAACGTTTAAATACTTTAGGGGTATTTGTTTTCTCGATCGGTTTTAAAATAGGGGTCACTTAAGTGCAATGTTGGTGAAACTATAGGGCATTTAAGTGTAATTTAGCCCCTAATTAGATCACTTCTTTTATTACTGAACATGACTAACATAAGTTTATTTGCTCATGTTTTAAAACAACGATACTACTAATAAAAGAAAATAAGCATAACATCTCAAAAGTTTGTCGATCTCCATGAACACTCACATCTACATCTTAAAAAAGGACAGCCCAGACTGCCCAGTGCACAAAGCTTCCCCTATGCACGAGATCCGAGAAGAGGTCGGACCATTGCATTTCACAAGATATTTCCACAACTCAAATACGTGACCTCGAGGGATTTGGATCCTCTCCACTACAAAAAAGTAGTGGAGAGACCACTACTTTTAATCTCAAGCGTTGATTATTTAGTAGGCGGTTATGATACAATCTAAATCTAACACTTACCATACCCCCCGTGTATTGCACTCATTCCTAATTTGCACTAAAAGAAAAAATCATAACCATCAACTAGATAATCAATGGTTGTGATTATATAGTGGTCCCTCCACTATTTTTTATGTAGTGGAGAGGATCCGAATCCTGACCTCGAGCTAACACAGAGGCAACTTTTACCGCATCACCAAGACTCCGTTCAACAGTCATTTCTGCATCTCCACTTTCAAAAAGATCGAGCATCCTATCTGCTAAGGATAATGATAGAACATCTTAATACCATGCACATGTATAGATACATGCACACGTAAATACACTACAAGGGAATTCAAAGAAGATGATACTTACCTCAAGTGTTGGTACAATGCAGATAAATGCATACTCATTATAGATTTAATGTACACTTAATCTTCGTAAGCAAGCCATTCATTAATAGGGAGTCTGATCATGAATGATAGTCATATCACAGCTTAATTCCATAGGTGCAGAAAAAATTATGTACATAATTACAGACTTCAATATTGCACACACGCATGAACACATTCATAAGCAACCTACATGTTACCTTTCTACTTGGGAATTCATCAAACGAAAGCAACCCATCTACTAGGAAACGTAACATAGATTAGTGCCATTGAACGTCATAGTACCATGCATATATGTAAAGCTGTAAATATTTAAGAAGAAAATACCCACACATGCACGAACATATATAAATAGGCAAGATCGACTGAGGTGTAGTACGTCCTCTTGAACAAACTTAATTAAAGTCGTTCCCACGTACAAACTCGCATGGTAGATCAAACCCAACAACTGTGTCATACCTCTCAACTTGATCAACATGTTACAAAATGAATAAGCTAAAAATCTATGTGTTTTAAGTATTTCAATTCAGTAATATCAATCTATTTTTGATAAATAAAAGAAGTGGGGCCTGTATTAATGCCACACTGCGATCCATGTTTTGATAAATATCCGATCCATTTTGCTTGACGTTAATAGGAAGTAGTTAATTTTTTTTTTTTCAGATTGATGTATATATGAATGCATTTGTTTTTCATTTTGTAACAAATTAACTTCTTAATTTTCCGCTTCGGCTACGCTTATGCAGGGAGGTTCTGGTGTCATTTTAGACTGGCATATCTACCTATGTCTTATTTATACGGGAAGAAGTTTGTCGGTCCGGTTACAAGCACCGTTCTGTCGCTGAGAGAGGAGCTGCACAATCATCCTTACCATGACATTGACTGGAATCTGGCACGTAACCTGTGTGCAAAGGTTTGTTATTTATAATGAGTTAATGATTCAGATAACTCACGTACGTACAACTTAATTTCTAGGCACCTATATATTTGTGGTTGCTATATATGTTGTGCGCAGCGGAAATTTCGGCAGAGTTTCTGGTGCACAATAAGAGAGAAAGATCAAAAATAAGAATTCCCGTCTCACCAAGGAGACAAGAATCTGAAACGGATATCTCAACCAAGTGAGATATCGGCTCTTCCTCTCATCAGTTCTAGGACTGACCTGTCGAGGGATCCTAAAACTATTAAAATGGCCACAAACTCAAACAAATCAATTTTACGTGGTTCGGCAAACTGCCTACGTCCACGGGGCAAGGAGGGGGATCTACTATTATAGAGAAAAAGAATACAATTGGTTTACAACTCTCACAATCTAAACCCTCAAATAGGCTCCTTGCTTTTCTTCACAAGAAAAGGTCAGTCTTCAAAAACTTTTTCTCTCTTCACAAAACCCTAGGATTTTCCTCTGCTGCAGCCGCTAAAAGACTCCCTCTCTTCTGCGATTTTTGTCCAAAGCCGCAAAACTAAAGCTCCTTGCACAGCCGCACAAAATTTCTCCTCCCCTGGTACTTGCACCCAACGCACAAAACCCTAGGCGTTCCTATTTATAGCCTAGCGGGTAAAGTGATGCAAAATCCGAGCCTCTTCTTTTGTCCAATGGATTCGGCACCCTCCCACGCGGTTTCCTCTCTGCTCACGCGCTTTGTGGTCCCCACGCAACTCTTCCTTTCACGCACTTCACATGAATTCTTCATGTAGCTGTTGTTTGCTCAACTTTGTGGCCCCCACGTGTCCTGCTGGCCATTATCCTTTCACACGTGTTCACAATTCTCCACCTCGGTGAAGTTTTCCCAAAACTGAGCCGACACCAACCAAACCAAATGTCTCACTTGTTGTGTCCAGTACACCGTGAAACAATTCACGACAACGGACTCAATCCATAACAAGTCGAGAACACTTGTTGTGTCCAGTACACCGTGAAACAATTCACGACAACGGACTCAATCCATAACAAGTCGAGAACTCAAATAAGAGTGCAAAAACTCTCCAAATATTGGTATCAACTCACCAAATCGATCTCACCCCCATCAAAATTCAACCCGGCTGCATCATAAGACTGCCTACGTATCATCTTGCCCAAGGAATCAAGCCGAACGTAGTTCACCCAAATGGCCTCCAAAGACCTCAATTCACTAGAAGAGTTCGCAACCCTTCTCCAATATCATCAACTCTGCGGCTGATAGCACCTCCAATGGCCTCAAACACCTCCACCTGAGGTGAACCAATGGTCATATCCAAACTATGTTTACCAGTTGCATTCGAATCAAAACCCAACTCATCATCCGCATCCGAATCCAAATGACTCCCACGCTGTGTCACCTCAGCTGGAATCCCAAATAATGCAGTATGATCTGGAGTAATCTTCACCCAATGTGGAGTAGCATCACTCTCCACCCGCTGCGATACCTCTAAGGTCTGTCCAAAACTCTCCACCTGCTGAGAGTCAATTGGCTTCCTCATCGAAGCCTCAACCGAAGTGACACTACCAGACCTAACACCCAATTGAGTTTTACCTCCTATCACAGCAGTTGACAACTCTTTAATAAGATGGCCCAGCAAGGCACGGTTCTTTGAATTATTCACCCTATCTAGCTGCCCCAAGATTTCCTTTCCAACGAAGTGTCTCGAAATGCCGTGAGCTCGGCTCCAATACAGAAATAGGTCCATCTTGTACCTCCCACCAGAATGGAGTACCTTCACCTTTCTGTCTATCACACACTTCTTCAAACTGTTAGAGACTACTAGGACTTTATCCATAGGGGATTTGGTTGCAACCCAAACACGCCTAGAACAGCCACCAACAAAGGAAACCAAACGCCTATTACCTCCCAATGATGCCCCCTTGGAAGGCCCCCAAACATCCACGTGAACTCCTCAAGAACGACCCTTAGCACGGTGAATAGAGGTGCCACACTTCACCTCGGTCTTCTTGCTCACATCAACATGTTCACTGGACTTCAAACTGCAGGTCTTTGCACCCTCTTTCAATCTATGCGAGGAATCAATACTGGAATGGTCAAGCCCCAAATGCCGCAGTCTAGTCAAATCAATAGAAGTCGCCAGCTCTCCACCTGCCACTATACCTCCAGTCAAGTAATACAGGTTATTCCTCCTGACGCCCTTCATCACAATACGAGAGTCTCTTGCAATCTCGAGAACCATGTCCTCAACACGAACCTTCAGACCCTCTCCAACCAAAGCTCCAATCGAGATCAAGTTCTTCCTCAAAGAAGGAACATATCTCACATCGTTTAACTCTCTAACAGTCCCGTCAAACATCTTTATGCGAATTCTTCCTATCCCAAGGATCTGGCATGCACGGTTATCAGCCATGTACACCACACCACTATCCACCAGCTTCTCAAAACTGGAGAACCATTCCCTTCTAGGGCACACATGATAGGTCGCACCACTATCCAACATCCATTCAGATTCCTCCGAATAGCTATCTGTAGGACTGATAGAAAGCGAATAAATAGAAGAGTCAGAATTATTACCATCCGATACGATATTTGCTTCTGATGATGGCTGCTTCCCTTTCCCCTTCTGCTTATTCTTCATCCATTCGTCGAGCTTTGGGCAGTCTTTCTTCCAATGACCAGTCTCCTTGCACCAAGCACACTGATCTTTTCCTACTCTAGACTGTGACTTCCAATTCTTTCGGTTTGGACCCTTCCCTCTTGCGACCAACGCCTCCGCTACCGGCTCAACCGAAGCCTCCTTATCCTTCTTTCGAAGCTGATAATTCACAAGTGCAGCGGTGACCTCACTATACGAAAGTGATGCCTTCCCATTAATCAGAGTAAGAACGAAGGTCTCATATTCCTCGTCGGGCAAGGAACTCAACAACAGCAACGCCTTGTCCTCATCTTCAATCTTGACATCCACATTCGCCAAATCCGCAAGAAGCTTTGTGTAGTGGTTCGTGTGATCTCTAATGGAGGTTCCCTTCTTTAATTGGAAACGATAAAGCCTCCTCTTCAAATGCAAGCGATTTTCCACACTCTTGGTCAAATACTTGCTTTCGAGAATCTCCCAAATCTTCTTCGCAGAAGTCTCATTCATCACATCATATTTTAGATCTTGAGTCAAACAAGACCTAATCACACCACACGCCGTTCGATTCATCTTCTTCCAAACCTTCTCTTCAATCTCATCTGGCTTGCCATCTAACTCCAAAGTATCCTCCAAATTCTGCGCGTTCAGCGCATCCAAAACCTCGCATCTCCATAATCCAAAATTGTTTGTGCCATTAAATTTCTCCACATCTATCTTCATAGAGTGGATATTCAAACTCTGAATGGTCTTCACGCCAGAAGCACCACCCTCGATACCCGAAGCACCTTCTTTCCCCGACATCTTACGCACCAACGAACAAAGAATAGATCCAAAACTGAAAGATAGAGTCTTTACCAAAAGATCCCACCTTTATCACCAACGAAGTCCTAAACGGGCCTCCAAATTGATCTACTCCTCCAACCAAACCCTAGATCTGGAATCTGGGCTCTGATACCACTTCATTTAACTCTCTAAATTCCTGACACGTACGTCTTAATTCCTTGCTTCTCCTACGTCCGAATCTCGATCACCTCGTTGCGTCATGAAAGCTTTTTTTTAAATATTTTTTTAAACTTCTGTGGGCAGGGCCTGCAACAAATTGGCCCCTCCGCTATTTGTAAGCTTGTGTCTAATGAGTTGGAGGGAGAAACAAATAATTGGTTGACAGAAATCCAGTCACGTTAATGATTGGTTGCTTTCCTTCATTAATTTTCCAATTAATACATCTTTACTTTTTTTTTTTTTTTTTTTTGTTTTTTTTTTTTTCTTTTTTTTTTTTTTTTTTTGTGTTTCCTTCACTTTCATGAGTTAAATCTTTTCTCTGGTTTGTTTCGCCAAAAAATATAGGGTAAAATCAATTTCTACCACCTTCCGTTCGACATGAAAATTGTTGGCAAACAAAATTAAAATTGAGGGGTCAACGTACTTACCATGGTTGATGGACTAATTTGTAAAAATATTTAGAGATCGAGGTGTAATTTGTAAAATTAGTAATAATTCAAGAGATGAAGGGAGATCACTAGCTAACACCTAATTTTGGTTGGTAACAA